GGGTCAGTCACCAGGAGATGGTGAGTTCTAGTCCCGCCTTATGCATGAAAGCCAAGGGCGTGACTTTGAACCAGTCACCAGGAAACAGAGAGTTCTAGTCCTGACTTACGCATGAAAGCTGGCTGGATGACTCTGGGCGAATCATCAGGAGACGGTGAATTCGAGTCCTACTTTAGACATGAAAGCCATCTCGGTGGGCTAGTCTCTCTCAGTCCCCACCTCACAGGATTGTTCTTGTGGTCGAGAAAACAGGAGTAGGCAGGAGTGTGAGATATTGTTCCCACCCTTGAGTTATTAATAATTAAAAGGGGGGGGCTCAAAATCTACTAAATAAAATGAAAATTAATTCAAAAGCTGAAAAGCGTGGGGGAGGAAAAGCACTTAAGCGGGAAGGCCGATATTCCTTTCGCCCATCGCCCACGAAGAGGACCATGTTTCTCAGCGATCTCTGACAAGCCAGAATGCAAAGTTACATTAAGCAGAAACAGCCCATTAAGCTGAAGGACTTCAGAACGTACTTAGGCCTGTCAGAGCAAATCCGAGCTGAAAACCACAGAAATAGGCCCGAGAAGGGGTGGGCTCTTAGCTGCGAGCTCTTTAGCTTTTTCTTACTGTAATCTCTTCTGCTGTCAGTCCTCAGTAATGCGAGGCTGATAAATGTCTGTGGAGATTCTCCATCTTCCAGGTCACGATTGTCCCAAAGATGCTTTTTCATGAGGCAACAAGGACTTCCTTGTTTTTCTTTCAAGACGTTTCGCTCCTCATCCAAGAAGCTTCTTCAGCTCTGACTGGATGGTGGGGAATGGAAGGGTTTATACTCCTTGCAGAAAAACTGGTCATTTGCCTTCTTTTAGAGGGTCGTAGAGGCCACTTGAAGGTTTGTCTGTGTCCTCAAGGTCACCTGAGTGGTGCCAATGAGTGTGGAGCCTCTTTGGAACTGCTGAGAGGACTGTGTTGTGGAGTTGTGCTTTCTGCAGGATGTTTCAGCCGTTCCACGAAGGCTCCCATTTATATCCCTCAGGTGACCCTGAGGACACAGATTAACCTCCAAATGGCTTCAATGACGCTCTAAAAGGATGCAAATGACCAGCTGTCTGCAAGGAGTATAAATCCTTCCATTCCCCACCATCCAGTCAGAGCTGGAAGAAGCTTTTTGTCTATGGAGATTCTCTGTCATCCAGGTGATGGTGGTCCCAAAGGTGTTTTTTTCAAGAGCAACTGGACTTTCTTGTTTTTCTTTGAAGACGTTTCGCTTCTCATCCAAGAAGCTTCTTCCACTCAGATTGGATGGTGGGGAATGGCAGGATTTTTGCTCCTTGCAGACCGCTGGTCATTTGCATCCTTTCAGAGTGTTGTTGAGGCCATCTGGAGGTTTATCTGTGCCTTCAGGGTCACCTGAGTAGGTGTGCAAATGGGTGTGGAGCCTTCTTGGAACTGCTGATTCAGCAGTTCCAAGAAGGAAGGCTCCACACCCATTTGCACCACTCAGTTGAAAAGGTGAAACTATGTTGATCCCTGCATTACCAATCTGTCTTTTATGTCCTTGCATGCAGGAAAAGGATAGGATATGGAGAAACAAATTGAAGAGGCAAAGAAGGAGAGGGGGGAGTCCTTTTCCCAAAGATACGTCAGCCATTTTGTTTTGCAGCTCTGTTTTCTGACAGGAAACAGGGCTCTTCCCTCTGAGAACCCTGGATCCCTTCGCTAATGAAACCACGGTTAATTGCAGTCAGATTGCCAGGTCTTCCTCCCCCCCTCACCTGATCATCCCCCCCCCCACAACTTCATCTAAGGCAGGGGTCTTCAAACTTGGCCCTTTATGACTTGTGGACTTCAACTCCCAGAATTCCTCAGCCAGCGTGCCTGGCTGAGGAATTCTGGGAGTTGAAGTCCACAAGTCATGAAGGGGCCATAGTTCCCCCACGCTGGCTCAGGAATTCTGGGAGTTGAAGTCTACAAGTCATGAAGGGGCCATAATTTCCCCATGCTGGCTGAGGAATTCTGGGAGTTGAAGTCCACAAGTCATGAAGGGGCCATAGTTCCCCCCTGCTGGCTGAGGAATTCTGGGAGTTGAAATTCACAAGTCATAAAAGGCCAAGTTTGAAGACCCCTGATCTAAGGAAAAACTTCCTGACAGTGAGGACAATTAACCAGTGGAACAGCTGGCTTCCAGAAATCATGGGTGCTCCATCACAGGAGGTTTTTAAGAATAGACTGGACAGTCACTTGTCTGAAATGGTATAGGGCAGTGATGGCGAACCTTTTAGAGACTGAGTGCCCAAACAAACTGCAACCCAAAACCCACTTATGTATCGTTGGGTGCCGGGTGGGTGTGGCCCATTGGTGGGTGTGGCCCATTGGGTGGGCATTGCTTCGGTGGTAACGGCAGACTGGGTGGGACTAAAAAGTTCAATCAATTCCAACTTTGTGAGATCTTTTTTTCCTGTGAGAACTTGAAATTGAGTGATTGAGTGAACCTTTTTTTTTTTGCACATGGCGGTGGAGGCCTAAAGCAAAAAAGTTTTATAAAACCCAGCTGAAGGCCTTGGACTGGGGTGTTGGCATGCGTGCCCACAGAGAGGGCTCTGAGTGCCACCTGTGGCATGCGTGCCATAGGTTCGCCACCATGGGTATAGGGTCTCCTGCTTGAGCGTTGCTAAGCGAGACAGTTGTTAAGTGAGGCTTGCCCCATTTTACAACCTTTCTTGCCACCGCTGAACTGAATCACTGCAATTCTTCATTTGGTAATGTGGTTGTTAAGTGAATCTGGCTTCCCCATTGTCAGGTCACAACCAGTAAGGACATCACCCCAGGACACGGCAACCGTCATATAAAGATGAGTCAATTGCCAAGCATCCAAATTTTCATCACGTGACCCATGGGGATGCTGCAAGAGTCATAAGTATGCAGGTCCCAGATTTTGGATGTCTTCTGCCAGTTAGCCCATCTGAGGTACGGTCATTCCAAAATCGTTGCCGTACGGCGCACTGTTCCGCCCAATTGAAAGTTACAAACAGCCAAACAGACGCGAGAGTTTTAGTAGTATAGAAATAAGAAGGAATCTACAATAGGGTTTCTGCAGGCATTGCTTATCTTGTTCTCCTGAATTAGAATAGAATAGAGCTGGAAGGGACTTTGGAGGTCTTCTAGTCTAGCCCCTTGCTCAAGCAGGAGAACCTATACCATTTCATTTCATTTCATACAATACAATAGAAAATATAGAATAGAATAAAATAGAATAGAATAGAATAGAAAATATAGAATAGAAAAAATAGAATAGAAAATATAGAATAAAAAAAATAGAATAGAAAATATAGAATAAAAAATATAGAATAGAATAGAAAATATGGAATAGAATAGGATAGAATAGAATAGAAAAAATAGAATAGAATAATAGAATAGAATAGAATAGGAAATATAGAATAGAATAGAATAGAATAGAATAGAAAATATAGAATAGAATAGAAAAAATAGAATAGAAAATATAGAATAAAAAAATAGAATAGAAAAAATAGAATAGAATAATAGAATAGAATAGAATAGGAAATATAGAATAGAATAGAATAGAATAGAAAATATAGAATAGAATAGAAAAAATAGAATAGAAAATATAGAATAAAAAATATAGAATAGAATAGAAAATATGGAATAGAATAGGATAGAATAGAATAGAAAAAATAGAATAGAATAATAGAATAGAATAGAATAGAAAGTATAGAATAGAATAGAATAGAATAGAAAGTATAGAATAGAATAGAATAGAATAGAATAGAATAGAATAGAAAATATAGAATAGAATAGAATAGAAAATATAGAATAGAATAGAAAAAATAGAATAGAAAATATAGAATAAAAAAAATAGAATAGAAAATATAGAATAAAAAATATAGAATAGAATAGAAAATATGGAATAGAATAGGATATAATAGAATAGAAAAAATAGAATAGAATAGTATAGTATAGTATAGTATAGTATAGAATAGAATAGAATGATATACGCCTCCCTCCAACATTTGGAACACAGCCCTAACAGGGTGGTGGTCAAAGGCCAAGACAGGAAGTCCTCAACTTACAACGGTTCCTTTAGTGACCAGGTGACCCTGGGACCCTGCAACCATCGTCAATGCAGGCCAGGGGCCAAGAGCCCGAATTTTTATGACTTGACCATGGGGCCAGTTGTGAGTGTGGGGTCCCCAGTCATAGGTCACTGTTTTCAGTCCCCCTGTAACTTTGGAGAGTTGAAAAACAAATGGTCCTGCCTTGAGGATACTCCCTGTGTATCCCCCATCTACCTGTATCCATGGCTAGATGAAACAAGAGGCCAATAAAGGAGAATATTTGTAGCTCAGGGTTGAAATGAGGGCTCCTTGAGCTTGGCGGTTTTCTTGCAGACGTTTCGTTATCCAACTCGGTAACATCATCAGTGCTAACATCATCACATAATCACTAGATGGTGATGTTACCTAGATTCGGTCATGAAACGTCTGCAAGAAAACAGCCAAGCTCAGAGAGCACCAAGGACCCCACAGTTCTCCTCCTCCTCCTCCTCCTCCTCCTCCTCCTCCTCCTCCTCCTCCTCCTCCTCCTCCTCCTCCTCCTCCTCCTCCCTGCAAACCCCTCTCCCTTCTAGCACTGATGGTGTTAGCTAGTTTGGTCATGAAACGTCTGCAAGAAAACCACCAAGCTCAGAGAGCACCCAGGACCCCACAATCTTCTTCATCCTCCTCCTCCTCCTCCTCCTCCTCCTCCTCCTCCTCCTCCTCCTCCTCTTCCTCCCTGCAAACCCCTCTCCCTTCTAGCACTGATGGTGTTAGCTAGTTTGGTCATGAAACGTCTGCAAGAAAACCAACAAGCTCAGAGAGCACCAAGGACCCCCTCACTGTGACAAGAGATAAGGAAAGCATTACCAGTGTGGTTATCCAGTGTGATTATATTTGCTCTGTCTAATTTTTTTTTTTAAAAAAAAAACCATTATTTTTTAATAAATAAAAGGAGCCAAATAACTGGTCAGCTGCCCAGCAAATCAGCAGCCTTTAGCATCACATTTATTTGCAATAAAGCTTTGAAGCCCCACAAAAGATTTCGCCGGAATAGAACAGAATATCCTCGATCAGCAAGCAAGCCAGGCCAGGCCCACGATATCCACCATATTGTGAGTGCGCCCACCACACGGTCGCCAAAATCCAGAAGTTTCTTTGACCCTCTCAAAAACTAGAGGTACTATCTGTCTCCAAGACCTCTTTCATGTGTGTGTGTGAGAGAGAGAGAGAGAGAGAAATCACCAGATACATTAAAAAAAACAAAAACAAAAACAAAGGGAGGGCAAGAAATTTCCAGCAAAAAAATCAAACGTTGGCAAGAATAAAAGAAAGAAGAAAAAAAACCAGAAGATTTTAGGAATCTGGCATTTCGTTTGGTCTTTCCAGGCAACATTGCCAGTTTTTTTTAAAAAAAAAATAAAATAAAACAGAAGGAGCCAAATGGAGATGTTGTTAGAGGTGAAAAGAAGCAAAGCTAGAAGATAAAACCGTTCCAGGGTGGAAAAAGTTTGACAAAGCCCCCCCCCCCTTTTGGGGGGGGGGAATTGAACATCATGGGATACAGAGCGTCCACTGCATTAGAGAAGAAAAGCAAATGTCCAAGCACTTTAGGAAAAGATCCTCTCTAAACCTCAAACGCCCCAGATCCCAGATGGGTGGCCACGATCAAACCCAAGATGATTCATCTCCGTGAACGAGATTTCTCAGAACAATTGTGCCTTCTTGGTTAGGTCCAAAGTCCTTGCTTTCAAAGGGTTTCATGGACCAGCTTTTAGGTCGTCGACAAGCAATTGTTTGAAAAGATCATCGAAGGATGATACAATCTCTGTTGGCCAAAGATCAGGACTGATTTATTTTGATTAAACTCAGAGGTCCTTGCAAGGAAGTTTGGTTTTTTTTCCCCCTCTCCATCCTCCTTGTTTGAGGGTCCCGTGAGGGAAAAAGATGGCACCGACGTCTCCCTTGGCCCACGCGGCAGAGCGGCGTGGAGGCAAAGCTTCATTTGCACACGTATCTCTCGACGTTCCGCTCACACTTCTTGCAGGTGACGTAGCAACACCAGTGATACTTGCAGTGGCACCTCTCCACCACCTTGTCCATGTAGGGGTTGTAGCCGCGGCCGCAGCACATCAAGTCACAACTGTCGCTGCCGTTGGACGTTTTGTTGCACTGCCTGGAAAAAAAAGGAGGAAATGACAGCCAGTGAGGATAAACCAAGGCTCTGATAGCGGTCTTTGACCCCAGGGTGCTTCCCCCCCCCAGAGGCAACTGGACTTTCTTGTTTTGCTTTGAAGACGTTTCACTTCTCATTCAAGAAGCTTCTTCAGTTCTGACTGGATGGTGGGGAATGGAAGGATTTATACTCCTTGCAGACAGCTGGTCATTTGCAACCTTTTAGAGAGTTGTTGAGGCCACTTGGAGGTTTGTCTGTGTCCTCAGGGTCACCTGAGGGGTGCAAATGAGTGTGGAGCCTCTTTGGAACTGCTGAGAGGACTGTGTTGTGGAGCTGTGCTTTCTGCAGGATGTTTCAGCAGTTCCAAGGAGGCTCCACAGCCATTTGCATCCCTCAGGTGACCCTGAGGAGAAAGATTAACCTCCAAGTGGCCTCAATGACTCTCTAAAAGAAGGCAAATGACCAGTTTTTCTGCAAGGAGTATAAATCCTGCCATTCCCCACCATCCAGTCAGAGCTGAAGAAGCTTCTTGGATGAGAAGCGAAACTTCTTCAAAGAAAAAAACAAGAAAGTCCAGTTGCCTCTTGAAAAAGACCCTTTGGGTCAACCTCCATAGGTATCTTCTAGTGAGGGACTGCGAGAAAGAAGGGCGGGGGTCGATCTCTTCTCCAAAGCGCCTGAAGGCAGGACAAGAAGCAACGGATGGAAACTAATCAAGGAGAGAAGCAACCTGGAACTAAGGAGGAATTTCCTGACAGTGAGAACAATTAACCAGTGGAACAGCTTGCCACCAGAAGTTGTGAATGCTCCAACACTGGAAGTTTTTAAGAAGAGACTGGACAGCCATTTGTCTGCTATGGTACGGGGGTCTCCTGCTTGAGCAGGGGGTTGGACTAGAAGACCTCCAAGGTCCCTTCCAACTCTTGTCATTCTGTAATCTCCTTTATGAGTCCTTCTAGAACAGGGGCAGGCAACCTTGGCTCTTTTATGACTTGTGGGCTTCAACTCCCAGAATTCCTGAGCCAACATGGGGGAAATATGGCCCCTTCATGACTCAGGGACTTCAACTCCCAGAATTCCTGAGGCAGCATGTGGGAACTATGGCCCCTTCATGACTCGTGGACTTCAACTCCCAGAATTTCTGAGGCAGCATGTGGGAACTATGGCCCCTTCATGACTCGGGGATTTCAACTCCCAGAATTCCTCAGCCAGCATGGGGGAACTATGGCCCCTTCATGACTTGTGGACTTCAACTCCCAGAATTCCTCAGCCAGCATGGGGGAACTATGGCCCCTTCACGACTTGTGGACTTCAACTCCCAGAATTCCTGAGCCAGCATGGGGGAACTATGGCCCCTTCACGACTTGTGGACTTCAACTCCCAGAATTCCTCAGCCAGCATGTGGGAACTATGGCCCCTTCATGACTTGTGGACTTCAACTCCCAGAATTCCTGAGCCAGGCATGCTGAGGGGAAAGGGAAAGATTTCCAAGCTGAGCCAGGCTGGCTCAGGAATTCTGGGAGTTGAAGTCCATGAGTCATGAAGGGACCATAGTTCCCCCATGCTGGCTGAGGAATTCTGGGAGTTGAAGTCCACAAGTCATGAAGGGGCCAAAGTTCCCCCATGCTGGCTCAGGAATTCTGGGAGTTGAAGTCCACAAATCATGAAGGGGCCATAGTTCCCCCGTGCTGGCTCAGGAATTCTGGGAGTTGAAGTCCCCGAGTCATAAAAGAGCCAAGGTTGCCTACCCCTGTTCTAGAGATTGCCCATCTCTTTCAAAGGAGGAAAATAATTACCTGCGTACAGATAACCCTCGGGTTACGACCACAATGGAGCCCAACATTTCCCTTGCCAAGCAAGACAGTTATTAAGTGGGGTTTGCCCCATTTTATGACCTTTCTTCCCGCAGTTTTTAAGTGAATCTGTGCAGTTGTTAAGGGAATCATTTGGTCGTTAAACGAGTCTGGCTTCCCCCCATTGACTTTGCTTGCTGGAAGCCAGCTGGGAAGAGTATGAATGCTGATCCTATGACCCTGGGATAGCACAACAGTCATAAGTACATGCCAGTTTCCCAGCGCTGGAATTTCGATCACGTGTCCTGGGGAGGAGGCAATGGGTTGTAAATGTGAAAACGGTCACAGGTCACTTTTTTCACAGTCCTTGTAACTCTGGATGGTCATGAAAAGGATGGTTGTAAGTCAAGGACTATCTGTCATAAGCAGTCAGCTCAAAGACGGTTAATTTAATTTCTCCTTAAGTCAAGTCACCTTTGAGTCAGGCTTGGATTCAGGCCTATGAAGTACTGTAGAAGGAGCTGAGCATGGCTTTCTCCAATCCAGCCTCCCACGCTGGTGTTTCTCCAGGGTTCCCAGCCCAGCAAGCTTTGAATCTCAGCCTGTTCATTTTCCCAGGTTCAGCCAAAATTAGATAAAGTAGATATAGATTCTTCCCTTCCCTTCCCCATTTCCTTTCTCTTTTCTTTTCTCTCTAATTTCTCCTTTCCCTCCCCTTCTTCCTTTCTTCTTTCCTTTCTCTGTCCTTTCTCTTTCTTTTCCCTTCCCTCTCTTCTATTTCTATTTCTTTCCTTTCCTTCTTTCCTTCCCTTTCCTCTCTTATATTTCTATTTATATCCTTTCCTTTCCTTCCTTTTCCTCTCTTCTATTTCTATTTCTTTCCTTTCCTTCCTTTCCTCTCTTCTATTTGTTTCTTTCCTTTCCTTCCCTTTCCTCTCTTATATTTCTATTTCTATTTATATCCTTTCCTTTCCTTCCCTTTCCTCTCTTCTATTTCTATTTCTTTCCTTCCTTTCCTCTCTTCTATTTCTATTTCTTTCCTTTCCTTTCCTCTCTTCTATTTCTATTTCTTTCCTTTCCTTTCCTTTCCTTTCCTCTCTTCTATTTCTATTTCTTTCCTTCCTTTCCTCTCTTCTATTTCTATTTCTTTCCTTCCTTTCCTCTCTTCTATTTCTATTTCTTTCCTTTCCTTTCCTTTCCTTTCCTTTCCTCTCTTCTATTTCTATTTATATCCTTTCCTTCCCTTTCCTCTCTTCTATTTCTATTTCTTTTCTTCCTTTCCTCTCTTCTATTTCTATTTCTTTCCTTTCTTATCTTTCCTTTCCTCTCTTCTATTTCTATTTATATCCTTTCCTTCCCTTTCCTCTCTTCTATTTCTATTTCTATTTCTATCCTTTCCTTCCCTTCCCTTTCCTCTCTTCTATTTCTATTTCTTTCCTTTCCTTCCTTTTCTTTCCTTTCCTCTCTTCTATTTCTATTTATTTTCTATTTCTTTCCTTTCCCTTTCCTCTCTTCTATTTCTATTTCTTTCCTTTCCTTCCTTTCCTCCCTCCCCCCCCCCAGAACCCTTGAAGCTCTTTCCCCAAAACGTACTGCTGCGAGGGGGGGGGGGTTGCTTTGCACAAAGCTCTCCTTTACGGGTCCGATCAAGGCTGGTGAGGGAAATTGGGGTGGGGGGAATGAGTAGGGAGGGTTGGGAGGAGCTGCTCTCCCCGCAGACCCCTCCGCAGCAGCGAAGGGGAGGAAAGGAATCCAGCAAGATTTATGGGAACAGGCCTCTGGGGCCATCGCACTGGGATTGATGAAGTGCTGAGACCTCGTGTATTATTTCTGATGCCGCTGGGCTCCCCCCCCCCCGCCTTTGTTATTCCAGATCTGGCTTCTCCGGGTTCAAGTCCTGCCTCTCCCCCACCTCTCACACACACCCCAGCCCGCCTCCTCCCTCTCGTAAGGCTCCTTTTTGGAGCAAGCCTGGGAAGATGGGTCAATATTTAGAAGTCCTTGGAAAGCGCCTGGAGGCCTTCTTTGCAAGCTCTGCTCCATCCTGACAGCTGCCCACGACTTGCAACCTGCACGCTGTGTGTTTGTCTAGTGCGGGACCAAGAGAGGAGTGGTCTGCACATGTTGAGTCTCAGGATGGGGGAAAGACCCCTCTTTAAGCCCAATCTCTCCTACGCCAATGGGCAAAGAAGAGAAGCAACGACAGAATAGCAGAATTACAAGAGTTGGGAGGGACCCTAGAGGTCTTCTAGTCTAACCCCCTGCTCAAGCAGGAGACCCTAAACCAGGGATAGGGAACCTTGGCTCCTTTACGACTCGTGGACTTCAACTCCCAGAATTCCTGAGCCAGCATGGGGGAACTATGGCCCCTTCATGACTGGTGGACTTCAACTCCCAGAATTCCTGAGCCAGCATGGGGGAACTATGGCCCCTTCATGATTTGTGGACTTCAGCTCCCAGAATTCCTCAGCCAGCATGGGGGAACTATGGCGCCTTCATGATTCGAGGACTTCAACTCCCAGAATTCCTGGGCTAGCATGGCTGGCTCAGGAATTCTGGGAGTTGAAGTCTACGAATCATGAAGGGGCCAAAGTTTCCCCCAGGCTGGCTCAGGAATTCTGGGAGTTGAAGTCCACGAGTCATAAACGAGCCAAGGTTGCCTACTCCTGCCCTAAACTATTTCAGACAAATGATTAAAAACCTCCAGTATTGGAGCACTCACCACTTCTAGAGGTAAGTTGTTCAGAATAACGGGAGGGACCCTGGAGGTCTTCTAGATCAACCCCCTGCTCAAGCAGGAGAATCTATACCATTTCAGACAAGTGATTGCCCAATTTCTTAAAAACTTCCAGGGATGGAGCGCCCACCACTTCTGAAGGCCAGCCGTCCCGCTGATTAATTGTTCTCACTATCAATAATTATGGAATAATGCAGTTGGAAGGGACCTTGGAGGTCCTCTAGTCCAACCCCTCTGCTCAGGCAGGAGATCCTATACCATTTCAGACAGGTGGCTGTCCAATCTCTCCTTTAAAAACTCCACAACGTCTGAAGGCAAGCCATTTCCACTGTTTAGTTGTTCTACAACTCCCTTGCTTGATTAGGTTCCCCAAAAAGTAAAAATGCCCACCATTTAGATAGTCCTCATCTTACAAATGTTTGTTTAGTGACCATCTGAAGTTACACTGGCACTGGAAAAGGTGACTGGCA